TCCAGTCCACACACATGAATCCCTCACCCCAGTGGTGCTCAACCTTCCAGCCCCACAGGCCCAATGAGTGGCATGGCACCAGTCTGCAGGTCTGAGCCAGTGCAGGGCCAATCTGTGAGTGCAATTCAGCACACAGGCCTGGACCTCCATGCTGGATCTGGCCACGGAGTGACCCTATGCACTGGACTGCTCTGGTACACAGACCAGTATCATCTGGCCCACAAGGCTCCTCACAGGTCTGGAAATTCGGCAGAGGATGGAAGCAGCAGCAGCATTAATTGCCATAGCTCTAGAAGCCAAGGTAATTACCACTAAATTCCCAAACTGTGGGGAGCCTCACAGGCCAGATGACAGCTCCATGGGCTGGTGGTTGAGCACCAAATGTAGTGGTGCTTTACACCACTGACATACCCTGGGATGTAGACTATAGTCTGAGAGCTGGTAATCCAGCCCTTCTCAGAGTGAATTCAGGCTAAATTGCTGAAGCCCTGATGGGTATTCAGCTGTCCTGCCACTGAACTCACACAGCGCTTCTCAGCAGCAATTCTTAAAGCTCTATGCCCCTACGAGTCCTGGACTAAATGGATGTTGTGCTCATGCAAATGCAGAAAATACAATAACTCTCACTCTCATGCTCAAAGCCCATGTTTGAAAATGTCTTAAGAGATCAGATCTCTCTACAAGTGAGTGGGGCTTCAATTCATAAGTGTGTTAGATGCTTTGGAAAAGGTTATCCTTAATCTCTCTCTTTTGCAAATAACTTACTGGTAACCTTTTTGTCTTCTAATCTAGCATTGATTTTTTCTTTAATTAACTATTTTTAAGGCCTGGTGCTTTGGGTCACTTGGAACATAGATATAATGACATGGTGCAGAATAAGAAAAAGGGAAGTCAGTGGCCAAGCCACTAAGGCATATTGCTATAATTCTGAAAATGCAAGTTCAAGCCCAGTTTTGGACTCATACCAAAGGCTGCTTACACATGGATCAGCTGTGAATGGGTATCTGGTTGTTTGTGCCGGGGGTAGGAACCAATCTTTCCTCTGCATGTAGTGCTTACCTTTGAATAGAGCAGCAACTGGTATAGGCAGATTCTCTGTCTTGGAATTACATTCATGAAATGTTAAACTAAAGAGTAGGACAGCCATGTTCTTCCAGATATTCTGCAAAAACAGACACGTTGAAAAAAATCATATATCAGATCAAGCTATGGAAGTGATAAAGGCCAAACTGCAAAGATACAACCCTGGCATTTGCTGTTTTTATCAGGTAAGATAAAATGCCTAGAGAAATGCATGTCAAAGATAACTATTTGGGTTGGTCTAATAAAAGATATCAAATTCACCCAAGTAACCTTGTCTGCCTATGTCAAAGATAAAAGCATTTAAAGGCAGATTAATGAGTAATTGGGGTGGGGGGCACGGTTACAGCAATCAGCAGTGCTTGTGCTACATGCACAGACTTTGTCACTACGAACCTCTGCAGGAGAGGCCTGCAGGGGGTCCTATGGCTCACTGGGTCTGGCAATCCTGCCAGCCTGCCTAGAGACCTTACCCAGACACTGGCTGTTGCTGGGTGTTTTTGATCTGTCTCGGGATAAGCGCTGGAAAGGGTGGCAAAGTTCAAGACAGTGGCATGGGTCGGCTGCAGTGCATCTGGCAGAGGCCAGAGTTGCCCTATTTTCAGGATGTCTCAGAATAAAGGAGGAAATAGGACAAGGCCCTTTTGGCTACTTAGGGCAGAAACAGTCAGTGCCTGAGAAAGAGGCAGTTAAAGGCTCCTTCAACTACTAGCAGGATGAGAGAAGGAGGAAATGGCAGATTGGGACAAGGGAAGAAACTGAGAACTCAGTCTGCATCCCTCACTATAACCACATGCAGCAGGGTAATAGTTTTAAGCTGGGCTGGTTAAAGTGCTGGTTATTTTTCCCTACCAAAAAGAAAAGGAATGTACCATGTGCCTTTCTTAAACAACACCCCACCCCACCCCTCCCAAAAGTCAATAATGCTGAATATTTTCAACAAAAAATCCCAAACACCCTTTTGCTTTAAAAACTGTTTGTTGGGGAACTTTCAGGGAACCCAGCCCAGTCTTAGGGGTTACCAGCAACACAGAAAGCTCTTAGGCTGTACATAGACGTTACATTCATCTCAGGAGAAAGCCTTTTGTCCAGGGAGCCTACAGATATACAAGTCCATTAACCCACTTCAATTCAGGTCCCTCAGACGCATGTGGGATAAGACGTGCTAACGTTTCTCCTGGAACGTGGCTGCGTCCATCTCTAAGGTTATCACAGGTCATTCCAGGGACTTACGTGCTTTCTCTTGCCACCTGTTGACAGAAGCAGCAATGCAACTTGGAAGGGCAACTTGTATAAATGACTGAGCTGCACCTATTTGGATCAGGGTCAAACTCCAAGACAGTTGGACCCATCTCAAATGAGATGCCTATTTACAGCCTTGGAGGCAATGCTTGGGCAGACAGGGGACGTGGAAATCCTGCATTGCACTGTGGCCTCTGCATCTGTTTTTGGACATATCAACTCTAACATGTTTGGCAGCTGTAATTCACTACCTACAGCGACATGGGCAGCAGTGAAAATCTAAGAACCCCCCTGTGCCTTTGCTGCCATGTCATCCATGCTATGAATAGAACAAAATAATGTTTCCTGTATTTAAAATGGTGGCAGAAGTCCTAGCCTGACTCAGTGAGGCGAGAGAGGCAGCAAGGCGTTAAGGGCTCAGATGAAAGCACTGTGTAAATCCAGATGCATCAACGAACACTACCCAAAGCGTGCAATTCCGGCAAGTTTCCAACACCTGTTTCTACCCTGTTGTTGGGGCAGCAATAAGCAACAAGCAGCTGTTTCCTATGCCAGCCACAGTGTGAGCTATATTGACAAAATAGAACTATTTGGACATGCTTCAGGGAGCCTGGTTTTCCCCTGCTGCATATATCCTGTACTGTCAGCAACGGCTACATTCTTGAGACTCTGTGGGTTTTGCACAAACAGTCCATAAACAGCTTTCTATGCCTTTCCCTCCCATTTCTAGTGTGGTCACGATCATAACATTTGGGTGCTATGAGACACAAGCGTCACAGGATAGGGAAGCAGTAGGAGACTTCTCATTGTTACAGTAGCCTGAGCAAGACAAAATAGGATAAATATGCCTCCAGCACCCAGAGGATTTGAGGGGGCAAATCCCTGCAAAATAACTAAATTCCTTGCATAGATCTTGCTGCAGATGTGCATTAGGTGTAAAAGAGGTTATTTCTACTGAGGAGTCTCAGATGTTGCCGGAATCCATGCCTAAGGATAGCAGGCAGTTTCAGGTCAATCAGCAGAATTATATGGGAAACGCTGGACTTACTCCTAGTACCCAATCACTGATATAGACTCATGAGTACACTAACCTCCCATAATAATTCTTTCCATTTCCTTTGTCGGCCCTTGAAAGGCAGTTATGAAAGAGTATGTGTTTCTTACAGGCACAGCATATTTAAAACAGTTCTCTTTGTTGAAGGCAAGAATACTTGCGGGCGATATTTTTATTGGACCAGCTTTATGGTTGGTATAGACATAGGCAAGCTTTTGGGTATCACAGTACCCTCCTTCGGGCTTCCCTTTGTTTAAGATCTCAACATAATACTTTAAAAGGGAAAATTTGCTTTAAAACACATCAAGTTTACCTGGAAGCTTTTCAAATTCTTTTGTAAATTTTCTTCATTTCTACAATCATAGTGCAGGCTGAGAGAGAGAAAGTCTACAGAGTCCTGGAAACAAGACAAGACATTGTTATTCCACTATTTATTTGCTGTTAAAGAGTGCTCAGAAAATGCATGTTCTCAATGTTTCTTCAAGCTGCTGCCAGTCTGAGAGTGAAATGCAACACACCTGTAGTTGAAATGATTTACACAGACTGTAGTTTTAGAAGTCAGAAGTCCCCTAAAAACCCCAAATAAGGGGTGGGGAGGAGTTTCTGGTTTACCCACTCGGTGGGACAGTGTGGAAACAAAGTCAGAGTTCAGCAGCACTCCCTGATACCAATCAGATCCGTTTTGTCTATTTGACTTTAAAAAGCTAATCATCATCCACAATTAGTTCTCAAAACGGCAAGATTGAGGGAGTCTTGGCCAGGTAGATAAACCTTTGCCACTGACTACAGGGTTCAGAGCAGCTTATCAATACACCCAGGGAGAAAAGTCCATTTTCAGAAACCTTCAGTTAATTCCACACCTGCAAGCACTTTCCTATTATTAATTTAAAAGCCCATGAAAACAATAGGAGAATGCTAAACCTGTTTGCTGATTTCAATCTCAGCCTGTTCTGGTCCCCAAAAGCTGGTAGGGATGACTTTTCTCAGGAGATCAATCTCTCCCCCAACAGTGTCAGCAATATAAACTTGGCCTACAAAGTATGTATAGTTGAAGCTGGATCCATTAGTATCCTCAAAGCTTCTATAGTCTTTTAGAACAGAAGTTAGGAAAAAGATACAGGCAGGAATTAAGATGTACTAATTGGGTTTTTATTAAGGGCTATTGAAATATGAACTCCTTTTTTTTTTTTTTTTTTTTTTTCCTTACACGGCTATTCACAGGAACCATATGGGACAGTTTGACAAAACCTCTTTATTGCTATACCTTATAATAACTGGTAACTTTATGGCATATAGTAACTGGTAACCCTTATCACAGGTAAACATTTAAAGTTCACGCACACATCTTTAATATGTCCTTATGTGGGACCACTCATGAAAATAATTCTGTTCATATCCGTACTTTGCAGATGCAGGTTTACAGCTTTTACTGTGTTTTAATTAATATTTACAAACCAAAAATCACAGTTTTGTTAAAAAAAACAAACCAAAAAAAAAAAATAAAAATCAGCTCAGTTTCACATCACCAATCATATAGGCCTTAGTGATTCAGATTGATTTTAAAATCAAAGGATTAAACAATTTAAGGTCATGTTAATTGCATCTGTCTTGAATCACATGATACTTAATAGAAAAGAATTGCAAAATACATCACCCTAAAAGAGGCGGAGAGAGATTCCAACGGTACCGTCTCAAAATGATGATTAATTTCTAACGCAATTGAGAGTTTTCCACCTGAAAAATGCAGACTGCCTAGTGTTATTACCGAGCACAGGAAATGAAAAATGCAGATTGATTGTACTTAATAAGGAAAGAGAAATTTTTGTTCAAAAATTAAATTGCAAGTCTTAAGTAGTAAGTATGTCCTACCCTGCTTTCACAAGGCATTAGAAGAAAGCAGGAGTTCAAGGGAATAGTTTAGGTTTAAATGCTGTCACCATGGTCTTAATAAGTTCACTGACAGTATTACAAGAAGACTGCCTGTGATAAAAAGGGGACTGGACTCAAACCCTAGAAAGTCCCATCCCATCCTACATTTCCAAGCAAGACTTTTGGGACCAAAAGCGTTCTCATACTAAGTGCAAATATGTGCGTTTTTAAGCCATTCTGTTATAAGCCAAGGTGAACTGAATGAAGAGACCTTCAAAACTAACATCTTCCAGAGGATACACCTCCTCGCTTCTGACATCCAGGGCTGCCCGGCTCCCCATCCGTATGCCAGACAGGCTCCTGGCAGAATATAACCAGCAGCAAATCTTCTCTGTGTCAAATTTCACTTTGACAAATCCACAAACTCTTCATGAAGAGGCGTTTCATTCAAATGTTTTTAACCAACTTGGGAACAAGATAACCCAGTCCAAGAAGAGGCAGACTTGCTCCAAGATGCTGTCACAGGGCAGACAATTGAAGCAGGTGGTACTGTGCAGCATCAGGGATTCTGCAATGGTTTACAAACATGAAGAGCATCACAAAGACAAGCTATTATTCCACTGGAATGGAGGCAATGTGAAAGTCTTTGCACCAGCTGCAAAGGAAGCTTTTGCCCAAAACTAGCTTGAAAGACAAGGGAAGATTAAACATGATTTTTTACCACAATTTGTGTAGGTTGTCTGTTTGCAAAAGAAATATTGTTTGATCGTGCTCGGTGTAGTCCAAATGGAGGCAATCTCCCTCTCTCTAGACTCTGCATAGTCCCCATGCAAAAAAAAAAAAAGGAAAAACCCTGCCAGTTTCAACCAGTCTAACCAGCACTCTGAAAAGAAGCTGCTGCCTATGATGCAAGTACTCTTCTGTGGTGATGCTGCAACTCACTTTTCTAACAAAAATTGTGTATTTTTACCTGTTCACTGTTAATTCCACTGTACATCAGCTAAAGCATCCTACTTATTTTTGTAGTGCATCTTATTTTAAATTCATTGCATTAAAACCCCCCCCCCACAGTTGGGCTTAATTAAGCCCAAGGCCACCCATGTTCCAATATAGACCCTAGCTTTTAGTGCAAGCTCTAAAAAGGGAAAAAAGAAAACTTATATTAAACAGCTTACAATGCTCAATTTAGATGCTCTTTTTCACTCTTAAAAACACTCACTATAAAACATCTGCTGCTTTTAGATTCAGTATAGCTATTTCTCAAAATGTACAAACTCAAATGTGGGTCAATTTTAAATCAAAGAGATTTCATTGCAACTGAAAATCCATTTCCAGAGAGATTTACTCTATCCATACAGGTACAATCAGGGAAGAGAGAGAGGAAAGAAAGTGGGATGTGGGGAAGATAAGTTGAATCATATCTCAACCCTTTAGGAAATGTACATGCGACAATCCCCACTTGGGCTCTCTTTACCTGTTGAAGAGTATTTTTCATGGTAGAGAGTATAAGTTCTTTCATGAGCAGCAACTAGAGCCTGGAGAGAGGATGAGGGGTCGTCATAAGGCAAGCTCTGAAGGACCTCAGGTAGGTGACTGAAGGTCAGCCACATGTCAACCAAGTCGCCAAAAGAACGGAAATTAAACTCAGCATATTCCACGAAGAGGTCCACAAAGGTGCTAGTCTTCACCATGGACCGGGTGATGATGACACCAGGTAAATTCTTGTGATGCAGAATGACCACTGGCTTAATGCTTGCAGCAGTAAAAGCCATCAGAAGTTGTCTATAGCATTGCACTTTAGTCTCATTTGGAGTCCTGAAATTCCCCTCTGGAAGGATGTGTATCCATGGCATAAAGATTTTATAATGTGTCATGCCATTTGCATGCAGGTAGGAGAAGTACTGTGGCAGGAAAGTCACATAAGGCTGATCACACAAGTAAGAGTGTATATCAGCATCAACCATTTCATTACCAAGACACTGTTTTTCTATGAATTTCTTTTGAAAATTCAAAGGACTCACAAAATCACTGGTTAGAGGACTAGCAACTGCAGTAACAGTCTGAGCAAATTCCCTCACTGTCCCACAGCAAGGAGAAAAGAGAAGAAAAAGTAAGACCACCTTACAAACCAGCTCCATCTTTGAACCTGCTTCAGAGTACAGCTGCTTTACGTTATTTATGCTACGGCAGAAATAAAATTAATATTTAACTCACACTATCTATTGTGCAGATGAACCTGCCCACAAGCAACTGATACCCAAATATCACAAAGGTTTAACTCTCTCAATAGACTAAAAAAAAAAAACAAAACCACCCCAAGCAACTTCATAGTTGCAGCCTTTATCTGAAGAAAGGTCAAACAGAATATCAGTTCAGTATTTTTTAACCAGTCATGAAGATATGTAGGTCCCCAATTGCCCTTTAGGCTGGGGACAGAAGTTACATACACACCAGTTTAAGTGATCAGAAACTGGTTTAAACCTGTAACCGAACACAAGTTCAGTGCACGTAAACCGGTTTCAAAATGGCGGAATTCCTATAAAACTCACATCTTCACGGGCTACCACTGCTTGTTATTAACCTTTCAAATTTACACAGTTTGTCACGGAGTCGCAGCCAGCTAGGGAAAGCCCCGTGGCCGCCTGCGACAGCTGGGGCCGGCTGCGGGCGCCGCCGTGGGCCAGCGCAAGGGGCCAGCCTGGCCTGCGAGGGCAGTGCCCTTCCCAGCCAGCTGCGGGTCACTGGCAGCCTGGCCTGACCCGGGCGCAGGGACCAGTCTGGCTGCCATTGGTGACGCGTAGGGCACGTGCACCCCCCGAGATTGGCCTGGCGGCATCTACGGGTGGTTGCTGATCGCCAACCCTTCTTCGCCAACACCGCTGCAGCCACCTGCAGAAGCTCCCTGCTCACCGCCGCCACCGCCTGCAGGCAGTCACCGTGGCTCCCCACGCCTGGACCAGGCTGGGCTGTCAGGGAGCTGCTGCCGCTGTGAGCAGGGCTCTCCTCCTCCTCCCCTGCCACAGCGGGGTGGGCTCTGGCCATACCCCTGCTCCCGCTGCCTGCTGGGGACCAGAGTCTGGCCACGCTCCCTCTTCCCCACCCTGTCCAAAAAGCCTGGCAAGGACTGCTTCACCCCTCCCCCTCCAGGCACACCCCAGCTGGGGTCCCTGCAGGCCAGGGTGGGGGTTTTAACCCCTCCTCAATCATACTTAGGCCTGCTGGGGCCTGGCCACATCCCCCTCAGCTCAGCTTCCCTTGGCCACTGCTGAAGGGAAGGGAGGGCACGCACTAGCACCCCCCGGCTTCTGGCCTCAGCCAATACAGGCATGTGCCTGCACTTCTGGACTCGAAAGTACATGTCTATTCACTTGCAAATTGGTTCAATCTACACCGGTTAGAGTAACCTGCAAAGACTGAATCAATTTTTGAATGTCTGTACCTATCCTTAATGTAGATAAGCATTTACTAGGATTATCTCTTCATTTAAAGTCTAACCCTGACACTAATTACCAATTTATTTTTGCCTTTTTCCACATAGGATGTTAGTGTATTCTCAATGTACACAGGAGTCTAAGAGATCTGATTTAAGATTTGAAGATTAAAAGAGTTACTAATTCACAAAAAACCTCACCCTCAGAATCCACAGGCATGTGGCTTCACTTTTCAGCTAATTCACAAAGCAGGACGCATAAAGTTCTCTGCCCTCCTCGGGCAGAAATCACATTTTGGACCTGGTGAGTTCGACTATTCTTGCATGTTTAAAGTAAAGCAAAGTGTATTATAGCTTAAACAAAGTGAAACAATAGATAATCCAGTTCCTGCAAGCGGAAAGAGTAAAACTACTTTTAAAAAGGCTTGTGTTGACAGAACTGAAAAAAAAATTATCTTCAATGCAAACATGAATATCGTTAAACTTTCCAATTTAAGAGCAGAGCAAAGCAACAAAGGAAACCTGCAAGCAGAACAAGCCCACAGAGAACAAAGTGTTGACAGTACACACACAGATGTTTAGCAAACTTTTATTGATTTAATAAGAAAAACAGACACACACAAAAATCGACAGGGTAAAATCCTACTAACCAAATGCCATAGACGAATAATGCAAAATTTCCTTCTGTTAAAAACTGAAGCATCTGAATAACGCCCTGGTGAACAGGCTTTGTTTGTATTGCCAGGCCTTGTTTAGAAAAGGACCACTAAAATAGTGGAACAATATATAGCATTGGTATAAAAGGCAAATCCCAGGAATGTGCAACATCTGCGAATGGACAGCTATTACCAAGACAGTATTTCTCCATTCCACAGGATAGCGCTCATACAGCTTTAAGTTAGCTATTCAGCAGGTACTGCAATAATGTACAAAGAACAAGTTTTCCAATATGCAGTTAAGCTGAAGTCCTGTGCTTTTATTCACAATCCTTAGTCTTCCATCAGATAGTTGGGGTTTACTACTAAAAATGAGTCTTCATCCAAGCTTTCTTCTTCCATGGAGCCTTTCAGCCCAGACTGCGTGAGTTCTATGAGAATGTGGTCCTGAAATCAACACAGAAGCACTTACTCAGGCAAGGCTTAAAAACTGGCATTTGTCCTTTGACAAAAGCAAAATCAGTCCACTGCATTTAGTCTTCTCCCCCATCTTTCTCCCCCCACTCCTGTGCGTACGATTCCATCTATAGCATTGAGATGGCTACATAGCCATGAAACTATTTACACAGCAAGTTAATTTACACCTTTGCTGTTTAACAGAAAGCTTGCCAAACAACATCTCTGGGGCAGGAAAGAGCCTCTCTCGCCAAGTCACAGTTTTCAGTCAGACTTTCAATTAAAGCACGCAACGCAGTTTCCCTCTGACTGCAGTCATTTTGCTATAGTAAAGGATGCCATGTTGTACAGCGAGTCATGTCATCAGGCTCTATAGACAACTCAGAAGTAAAAGTATTTTATCTCTGCAGGCTAGAAGGTAACGAGGCAGGCCCTCAGGAGGCACATATTTACCAAAAATTTCAGTCACTGTGAGAAGGCTGTCAGGAGAAAAGATGGACTCTGAGAGGAAAAGAGCAGAATTCCTACAAAACTCACATCTGCATAGGTTACCACTGCCTGTTATTACCCCTTTTACATTTACACAAACATACAAAGGAGACCTACTAATGTTTGGAAAGGAAAAACATCTAGTGTCTGAAGATATCACCATACCCACCACTTTCTTTCCAAGTTCTTGGCCTGACATCTACAAGATGCAAGTTAAAGTACCTTTTTACTGCTCTTACCTTTGAGCACAAAACACATTTCACAAGCTCTGATGAACACCCTGCATCAGAAATAAATATTTGTTAATTCTTAACCTAAAACATCCATACAATTTTTTACGTACATAGTGTGTAAGTCGGTGAATGACTCTCTCTATGATCTTCTTTCTATTTATCAGTTCTTCTTCAGACTCTATTTCTGACTCAATTTCCTTTAAGTACCAATTAATAAGCTCACTCTTCTTTAACGAGGAATCATCATCTTCTGCAAAAGAAGCCAAGACCATTGGAGTTACAATTCCATTCCACATTTCCAACACAGCCACGCCAGGAAACCAATCAAACTGTCAAAGAGAAGGCTTAATGCAGTAATATTGACAATGCTGAAAACCGAAACCCAAAATAACCTGTTAAATTATTTTATCAGGGAGTTTTGATCTGCCATGAAATGAAGTTCTCATGATAGATTACATACCACAAAACAAATTATTCAGGTAGAAATAAAAGTGTAAATTCTCAATCCCTCTGTCTGCAAACAAACCAGATTTCTGCTTTTCCTAGGCAGCTCATCTAAAGATTCAAAAAGGGGAGAGTCAGGAGGTGGTTTGTTTAGTTTCATCTAAATGAAGATGACGTTAAAAAAATAAAAAGTCACAGCTTTGCCCAAAGCTGAAGACACTGAAGTCTTCTAGACAGGTAGAAAATGCAGTAATTGCAGATCACTCTTGCCATTTTAAATGGACATTGTAATCTCATCTCCCATCCAAATATTGTATGGAAAACTGACACACCAGCAAGCAGCTGTCAAGTTTCACCAGAGCAAGGACTTCATCGCAGCTTATATCTTCTATCACTCCTTCTGCTTGCCACAGTTCATATCTTGCTTGCTGGCACATGCCAACAGGTGTCCTATCACACCTTCACTAGTATAATTACCTATGCTAGCTAAGGCAAGCTGCCACATGAGACAATCACTTACTTTGCTATGACTTTTCAGGTTATGCAAAAAGCAGCATAAGATGGTAGTATTAGGCACCAACACATTCTTCAGAGAGGCACAATCTTTCATAGGCTTCAGCCTACTTCATCATAGCATCTGCCGAAGTACGCTGTACCTTATTAAAGCTCTCTGAATGAACCAGTCTGTAAGGTACCACCCTGCCCTACCTTCTGCCCAACTTCAAACTAACACGGCTAATTAAGTCCGTCTTTTCAAGTTACAACACTGAACTCAGCCAGACAGAGGGTGCCATATCAGACAGGCCGAAGGAACTTTTTAAAGGGGCCCTGCAGCAGCTGGGACTTTTGAGCACATGCGTCATCTGAAAAAACATTATCTGCATGTAAGATATCACCTGTCACAATATTTAACATGATCACATAACAGAAATGCAAGACGAAAAGAGGCTGCAGACACGGGCTGTTAGGGGCTCGAGGATTCTGTGAGCACTCCAAACCCTTCTGCAGGTGCAACGTAAATTTAAGTAATTACTGGTGCTTGGCACCACACAAGAGAAGGCAAATCCTTGCTTTAGTGTCTGAGACAGAAGGAGAAATTTGTTAACAGAACTGAGGCTGGGAAGGGAATGCAGTTTAAGTCAAGCCACCCTCATTCCTTTGCTCAACTAAGTTTCTGACCTGCCTGAAAAAGTCAGACTATGCGTTCCTTAATACCCAATGAGAACGTCCCTCACCGGTTGCGGACAAACCTTTTT